TATAATAAGATATATTAAAATATATTTAAATATAATAAGATATAATACAATATATTCAAATATACTAAAATATACTACTATATAGTAAAAAAGATACCACTGTATACTACTATATACTAAAATATACTACAATATATTAAAATATACTACTATATAGTAAAAATATACCACTATATACTGAAATATACTTCTATATGCTAAAATATACATAATACAAAAATTAATCCAAGGATGTGATTGGGTGGTTAGATTTCAGATCAGTAGCCCAAAAGCCCAGTTAGTTTTGGTCATTTTATTTAAAGCAAATTTGTTGAGGAATAGGCTGCAATTAAGTACAATATATACACTAAAGCAGGGTCTGTATTACAAAGTAATTATGTGAATATATCTTGTTGAGTGCCCAAATGATACATACTCCTAATAAAGTTAATAAAGTCAGTAAGGAAAGATTTCATTCACGGTGTAGTCTCAACAGTTAATTTGTTATGAAACAGAGTTATGAAATGTCTCAAAAGCCCCTAACTGACTTCAACACATAATACTACAACCATCAATGAGTTCTTGTGTTTTAAGACTGATCAGCGTTTCACCACAAAGAAAGAAAGACACTTAAGCAAAGACTTCTTTTATTTCCAGTCAAAAGTGGCTACTGTATGTTTGCATCACCAGCAGTGATGTGTCCTCATGCTGTTTTCAGTTTAATACATCACACATTAATATGTAAGAAGAGTTTCAGATTAGAAAAGGGGGGAAGGCCACATGTTGATCACTCTGAGTGAAGGCTGCATGCAGGCATGGCTGTCACATGGCAGTCTAGTCAGAAATGGCTATTTCTCCTCAGTCGCTGTATGAATGTAAGAACAAAACACGTGATCTCACACCAGGTAAGTAGAGACTAAGTCCTTCAGCATAACGTTGTGCCCGTAAAACGACAACTAATCTAGAATAACAGACGACGGAAACCTTTGGATTGTCTAGTTCTCCAGGCAGAGTACGATGTAATTTCCATCTGTACACTTCAAACTGAAAAATTCACCCTTACAACACAAATCTCATTCAAGACCGTGTAAAAACAATATGGATAAGCTTCGCAATGTTGACATGTTGAGTAATTTGGAAGATGAACACCTGTGAAGTTATTTTTTTTTACCTCAAGAGTGCGATATGGATGAACATGTTTAAAGCCAATGTCTGCAGTGCGTACACCACATAACATCAGAGAAACAATACTGAAATAAGGTCACTTTGAGTTCGTGTGGTCCGAGAAAGCTTTGGCTTCACCTAATGTGCCCTACAGCCAAACTCTTTCCAAAGGTTACTGTTACCTTTCCTAACAAATGAAACTAAAGAGGGTCACATTTAGGCACTAAGAGGCTCCACAATCACATCTCTGCCTCTGAGACTGGGAGAGCTGGAAGCAGCCCCGCTTGAACTGCAGTGCACGTTGCCCCGAGGCACCACATCGCTGCTCTGAGCTTCACGGGCCTGTCTCCCCTCTCCTCGCCAAACTTAAAATGCCGGAAGTAGAAATCTGCTCAGTCGTCTCCTTTGTCAGCCACTTTCTCCGTCTCTGTGTCCGTCTTCCTGTCGGCGGAGTTGGATTCGGGTCCTCCTGTAGTTCGATTGCGGCTCCTGGCCCCTGGCTGGTACAGCTGAATAGCAGGCCGGTCCTGATGCGGACAAACAATGCTCTTAGAGATGCTGAAGAATGCTTGCAAGAGGGGATTTGATCATTTGAAACACTGGAGTCGTTACCTTATTCCGTAGGCGCTCCCTTTTAGCACTCTCGTCCTTCCTGTTGTCTTTGGCAGGCTTCTCGGGTCTCTCGCAGTGAGAGGATTCTCCAACGTTTTCCCCCTTCTTCTTCTCCAAGGCACGCTCTCTGTCTTTCTTACCCTCCTCGTCCCGCTTCCGGCACGAGTTCTCTCCATCCTGCCGCTCTCTCCTTCTCCTCCGATCTTCGTCCTGTCGCCTGATGCGCTCCTTGTCTTTCTGCCGCCGCTCCTTCTCTCGCTCCCGTTCGCGGTCTCTGTCTCGATCGGCGTCGCGCTCCCTGAACTCCTTCCGCCCGTGTTCATCCGCTCTGTGTGTAAAGCACAAATCCTCTTTAGGTATTCTGTTCAGAGTGAGCAGTGCGTTTAAAAACAAACAAACAAAAAAAGCCTCAAATAACTAACTTCCTTCCTCGATCCTCCTTATTGTCAATGTTCTGACGCCTCTTATGATCGGCACTCCCCATGGATCTGTCCTCTTTATTTGGCTTTTCTGGTTTCTTGGCCTTTTCCTTGGGCTTCTCAGAATCAGCATCTTCACTTCTGTCGGGCTTCTTCAGGAGCTGAGTTGAAAATAAAGACGACATCATAATGAGATCGTGGAAATTGCACACGGTTTTAAACGGCTTCAACCCACTGGAGCACACACCTTAATTTTTGGTTCTTCTTTAACTTGGTCCTTGTCTTTCTCCAGCGGTTTCTCCAGTCTCTTCATCTTCTCGGCCTCTTTGCGCTTCCTTTTCTCCTCCTCTCTCCATTTACGACGCTCCTCATCACGCAGACGCTTGCGTTCAAGCTCCCTCCTCCTTCTCTCTTCTTTCTTTTCCTCCCTGATTCTCTGAATGGCATTAAAACAGGACATGAGACCAGCCATCATCATGCAGCTTAACATCCGTAACAACAACACCACACCGCAGTACTTATTTACCTGTTTATTCTTCAGGAAGTCCAGCAGAGGAGTTGTTTTTTTAGCTTGAAGGGAGAAAAAAAAAAACATGTTTGAATTTATAACTGCAGCACTGTTTCTGTGATGTTTCAGGTTGTTTCATTTAAAAAGGAGCTGTTCACCGACCTACAAGTTCCTTGGATTTGGCCTCGAGCTCTTCCAACAAGGTCTCAGGTGTTGATGCCAACTTTTCTTCATCTCCGTTGTAATTTTCAAGGAACTTCTTGTATTCAGGATCTGAAAGAAAACATACAACATACATATATGGTAAGGCTGCTTGTTTGTAGCGTTACATGACATTATGTATTGACTAAGCTGCTTTTGGTGACTATTTATAAAAGCAAATATGTTCACAAACCTACACATCAAACGTTGGTAGTTTGGGACATAAGACACACATAAAGTATCCCAGTAAATATCTTTACCTTCAACAATTGTTCCACATTTTGCGTCCTTTTTCTTACTTCTTTTCTTGGCAGTCTTTTGAAAAGGTGCAAACTCCACAACCGCAGGATACTCCTGTCCTGT